CCCGACCCACGGGACGACAACGTGCTGACGTCCAATATTAAGAATGGCAAGCGTGCGAACATCATGGCTAACACGAGGCTTTGCACCATCGACGAGATCTCGTCCCTACATATCGCCCCTTTCGAAGCTGGCGCACGGGTGGACCTGCCGAGAATTGAATCTGACAACTCTCATGAACAAGTAGCCCATCACCGCGGAGGAGGCGCGTCTGCCTCAGAAGAAGACATTCTAAACGAAACCGCCCCAGAAGAAGACATACTTGGTATGCCATCGTTATCGCCATTGTATTGTGCATATGATATTTTGTTATCACGTGCAACTCGTGTCGAATATTCCATTCTTTTCTTTACTTTCGCGCTCGCTTTGCAACCAAATAGTCCCTTTTTTCCATTTTTTCCTTCACTTTGGCTATCGCTTCACAACTAAGTACTCGCAATGCCACTACCTTTTTTTTCTCCCCATCCACTGCCGCCTACAGATATTTTGTTTGGTTATGGCGAGAGGAGCTACTTGGAAGAAATGTTTTTCCATCAAGAACCTGCAACGCCAATCGTCGGTTGGTAAACTTAAGGCGAGAATGTCCACGACGAGATAATATTATCATAATGACATAATCGATTATTCTCGTGCTCGCTTTAGTTTATGATGAAGACATTACTTCCAAGTTTCCGTTGCAATGCTATATTACTCACCATCATCCTCGAATACTGTACCTCGCTCACACACCAACTAATCTCCGTGCCACACCCGTTCCTGCCTTTTTGTTGCCGACCACGAATATTTGACATACATACCGGGTTATATGTATTTTCCTCGTGTCCCACCTTGATGAAACCATCGTGCCCCACAGTCGCTGAACTACATTTTGACCGTCCCGATCGACTCGGTCTGTGATGCAGATACTAATGTTCACAGCGACGACTACTTGGGCGAAAACGTGTTCGATTCTTTCTTTGGTGTTCCTCGACATGTTCAACAGCAACGGTCGGAAAACGAACCTTCAGCAAAAGGTATGTCTACGATTAAATACGCAAACAAAGATGGACAACGCTCATTCACCGTTCTTAAGCATCACCGGGTAGACGCTCTCCAGGGTTTGTTGAGCAGCTACTCCGTGGACGGAGTAGAGGCTGGGAGGGTCGAGGATGTGGTAGAATT